ATGCTATGATTTAGCATTCCTAATCCAGGCTTAAATTTCCCTTTGATATCTTGGATTTTCTGGAAGAGCTCTCTTTGTTTTACTCTTTTGTTGTTCTCAAATTTCTTTACACCGGTTATTGTAATACTTCTTATCTTGGATTTTCTGGAAGAGATCTCTTTGTTTTCCTCTTTTGTTGTTCTCAATTTCTTTACACTGGTTATTGTAATACTTCCCTTTGTCTCTGCATGGCAGTTGGTGAAAAACGGGATTCTGGGTTCTGACTCAACTTCTGTTGCCTTTTACTTTTGCTTCCTGTTTGCAATTTTAAGTGTTCCTTCTGTCATCCATCTAGCTTTTGTTTTCTTTTACTAAGGAATTGTATTTTTGGCATTCTTGCCTAATAATATCCCTGTTTTCAATTTATAGTTCTTCTAGTAAAACTGAGTTGGGTAATGCAAATCTGTTCCTTATGCAGACTTTAAATTCATCAGGAATATTGTTTAAATTATATTTTGGCACTATGATTTTTATTGTTCATTTTCAGCTTTACTGTACTGTTGGATATTAACAGTTTGTGAGCAATGCCACCATCCAGTCCTGATCTTGTTTTGGCAGAGAGAATACAGATTCTCCATCCCATGCTTCCACTTACATAGTCAATTTGATTTCTACATTAACCTTATGGTGATGTCCATTTGTACAGCTGTCTTTTCAGTTGCTTAAAGCTTGCATTTGGAAGAAGCAGATTGTTGGCTTTGCAGAACTCTTAAGAGTTGTTGTCCTGCTTCATTTCTGCCCCATGGGCCAAATTTTCCATCCACATTTGGTTCTGCTTTGTTTCCTACTTTTTTTGTTCTAATCAACTGTGTTAATAAGCATGTTTTATTTCTGTGTGTGATCCGTTTCCTCTTGCACGCTTGCATAAAAGCTCTCAACTTCATCAGCATCAGTAGCTGGAGCAAAGACTTGAATGAGGACTGTGTTGATAGGTTTTCCACAGAGTCTGACTGATATTATTAGGCCAGACTTTGTATTATAGCCTCTAACTGCCTGTGCTACATCTTGCCTCAGTATTAGAGCTACTCCACTTCTTCTGGGTTTCTCATTTCCAGAATAGAACACTGTGTAGTTGTCTGACCAAAAACGTCCTGTTCCAATCCAATTTAGCTCACCAACATCAAGCAGTGCAATGCTTATGTGCTCCATTTCTTGCTTTGCAATTTCCAGTTTACCTTGATTCATAACTGTCGCGTTCCATATTCCAATTGTATGTGTTTTGCAGCATCTGATTTCTGTGCAAATCGTGGTGGTGCTGTGGGTTATACAGCAGATGCCCCTGGGCTGCAGGGTCAGAAGACTGGCAGTTGTAAGATCAAATCCACACGACGGAGCGAGCTCCCGTCGCTTGTCCCAGCTCCCGCCAACCTAGCTGTTTGAAAGCATGTAAAAATGCGAGTAGATAAATAGGGACCACCTCGGTGGGAAGGTAACAGCGTTCCGTGTCTAGTGGCGCTGGCCACGTGACCACAGAAACGGTTTATGGACAAATGCTGGCTCTATGGCTTGGAGATGGGGATGAGCACCGCGCCCTAGAGTTGGACACGACTGGCCTAAAAGTCAAGGGGGACTTTTACCTTTACCTCTGTGCAAATCAGCTACTAGATATCCTTTGGCTTTAATCTAGCTGCATCTTAGCTGTAGAGCTATTCGTACTTGTCTTCTGCTAATTGAGTGCTTTCTCACTTGGGGGACTCATTTTCCAGCACTATCTCTTGATCCATTTTGGACTATCTCATCATAGGGTTTCCACGGCAAGGGAAGCTCAGCAGAGGTTGGCCCATTGCCACCTTCTGTGCAGTACTAACAAGAGTCATCCCCATTGCCTCCTTTGCCAGTGTTACCTTTAACTACCGGTGTTGCCCAGTATATACTGCCGTGTGCAGGGTTTTTTGTTTGCAAAACGCTGTCATTTTGTTGTGTTGTTGTATAAATGGCCACACTAGCAGTACTTGGTATGTTGGGGTTGGAACTGGGGGAGAAGGGAAAGACTCTTGTTTTGCCTGATGAATAGACAACTCCTGGTTCACCCTGATGGGTTGCAACTGATGTTAAGAAAGGTGTTCCAGATAAGAGGAAGATAATCTCCCGCTTCTACATCAGCTTGAGACCTGGATACGGGGCTTTTCTCATTGATGAGTGTTGGATGAGATGCCAAACTGTGCCACTTAGAACAAGATAGAAAGAAGAGTGTTAGTCCCTTTCCCCCCGCTTTGTAGTCCAGCTGTACTGTAACTATTCCGAACAATGCAGATCACCAGAATCTTCGGTTTTATATCATATCCTGCTTCCATTAAACTCTGCACATGATACTCCAGCCACAAGGGAAAGTTTAAGGAAAATGAGCTTTTATTAAAAACAGGAGACAGCATGTCTGCAGGAGGATACAATAGAAACATTATGAGCTTCTTATCTTTGCAAGGGGGAAAAATGATTTTTTTTTTTTTTGCATTTCCCGCTGTCTGTTCTTTTCGGCTACTATGTTTTCTGATCCCTCCCATCACAGTCCTTTCCCCGGTGCCTCGATTCCACACGGAGAAGCACTGCTGTTCAACGCAACAGCAAAAAAGCCAATGCTATTAATTATGAAGCCATCTCAATTTCTTTTTAATGTTTTAATGAAGGCCCAGTAGACTTTTTCAAGTGGAGTACAATGGCATCAAAGGTTTCCAACGTGGTTTGGATTTTTTTTGCAAGGGGAATGTGATCCGTTTCTTAAGAGGGTGTGGAACGGTGTCTTAAGAGATGGAGTGCGGCCACCTTGCTTCCTCTTTTTTGTTTGCATGAAGACTCTAGTTGTCACATCCGCATTCTCCCCATATTCGCCTCCACCCTGGGTGGGCGTTTGTCCCTTGAATGAGATGAGGAAGATCAGCATCTTGCAAGGTCATATCCCATTTGTTACATTGCGAAGAAGAACAAAATGGATTTTCCCCCTTATTGTTTGCTGTTATCAGTCCAAGCCAGTGTGACCCAACAGACATGCTGTGAGATGGATCTGTGGCTTCTAGTGCTGTTGTTGACACGGGCTTCTGGGGTTCACCTGAGAAAGTCACCAGTTTGAGGGGAGATGCCATAGCCTGGTGGCAAAGCCTCTGTTCTGCGTGCTAAATACTCCTAGTTCAGCCTAGGATATCTTGGAGGAAGGCTTCTGTTTGAAACCCCGTAGAGTGGCTGTAGGTGAAGGTAAAGGTTCCCTTGACAATTTGTCCAGTTGTGTACGACTCTAGGGGGTGGTGCTCATCCCCGTCTCCAACCCGTAGAGCCAGCGTTTGTCCAAAGACAGTCTTCCGTGGTCACGTTGCCAGCGTGACTAGACATGGAACACCATTTATCTTCCCGCCGTGGTGGTACGTATTTATCTACTCTCCTTTTGCATTTGGCTTTCGAACCACTAGGTTGGCGGGAGCTGGGACAAGCGACGGGAACTCCCTCCATCGCGTGGATTCAATCTTATGACTGCTGGTCTTCTGACCTTGCAGCCCAGAGGCTTCTGTGGTTTAACCCGCAGCGCCGCCACGTCCCTGGTGGCTACCATTCTGCAAAGAACCAAGTGGACTAATGCTTCCTCTGATGAAAGAGGGACCCAAATTAGTAGAACTATTTTAATAGACAAGAGTGCCCAGGATTTCTCAGCTGGCAGTGGCTGGGGCATTCTGGGGTTTGTCACCTCAAAGGTAACGAACTACATATGATACACACCCCATGTTAAATGTGTAGCATCCATCGATGTAATCTTGAGATCAAAAGCAATGTGTTCTATACCTAGAATTTGCTGGGAATTTTCCTTCTCCCAGTTGACATTGATCTCTGATTCTGGGTTGCATAGTCACCTGCTGTCTCTGGATATGCACGTTGTGGTGCCCTGGTTAAACTGGAGAGATCTGATCTGACTTAGTAGAGGCTTTACTGCAGTACTGCAGTTTAACCACTGTGCCGCAGGGCTCTTTTTTGTAGTGAATTGTGTGGTAAAGGTAAAGGTAAAGGTAAAGGTAAAGTTTCCCCTTGACATTTTTTAGTCCAGTCGTGTTTGACTCTAGGGGGCGGTGCTCATCCCCGTTTCCAAGCCATAGAGCCAGCGTTTTTGTCTGAAGACAATCTTCCGTGGTCACATGGCCAGTGCGACTTAGACACGGAATGCTGTTAACTTCCCACCAAGGTGGTCCCTATTTATCTACTTGCATTTGCATCCTTTCGAACCGCTAGGTTGGCGGGAGCTGGGACAAGCGACGGGCGCTCACTCCATCGCGTGGATTCGATCTTACGACTGCTAGTCTTCTGACCCTGCAGCACAGGCTTCTGCGGTTTAGCCTGCAGCGCCACCATGTCCCAATTGTGTGGTATGTTCTTGTAAAGACAGGGGGCATGTCTGTAGGTGGTGTTTCAGTGATATATGCAGTTGGGCATGATTTTCATGACCAGAGAAATACCCCCCTTCTTTTCTCTCTTCTTGTAAAGACAGGGGGCATGTCTGTAGATGGTGTTTCAGCGATATAGTCAGTTGGGGCATGATGTTCATGACCAGGGAAACACACACACACCCTTCTTTTCTCTGTCCTGATCATCCTCTGAATTTTTAAAATGTCATCACCCTATCCTTGGGTCACCATTATTATTATTTCCTGTGTTTCCAACCCTGCCAGTTCCCTGTCAGATCGGCAGAGGCAGGACCATAGGAAGGAAGGAAAGCGGAGAATCTTTGGGCTGGAATTTGGATCGCAAGACGAGCAGTGAACTCCCAAATCGATCTTCAGCCCCTGGGTGAGCCAAACCGCTGTTTCGAACACTATACGGGCTGCAAATCCAATCACTCCGATTCGTCTTTCCAGTGTAGCCTCACCCTTTGAAAAGATTACAAGAGGGGAAGATGAAGCTTTCTCCTGAACAGTGTGCAGAAGAGCAGACTTACTGCAAAGAATCTCTTTTAATATTTTTTTTTCTCCTTGTTGTCTTTGATTTAGACATGGTGGCTTAAATCCGGCTATTTGGGGAGACTCAGAAATGATTCATTTCGGCGCACTCTGCCCTCTCTTTCTCTCATTAATGTGGGTTTTGAAGGATTCGTGGAATACAAGCCTGTCTTGATTTTGTTTTCCAAGCTAATAACCCAATGCGGGAGTCATCTGTTTCGCAGCTGACAAGGTCTGTCCTTAAAGCAAACGGTCTCTTCTGCATTCTGATCCCATTCCCTCACTCCTTATGGGAGAAATTGTATTCTAAAGGAAGAAAATATTATAAAGTGCCTTTTAAAGCTATCGCATTAGCCGCCTTCACCACCTACTTTGCCTTAACTTGGTTTCTCCTTTCAACGCTGGCCTCTTGCTCCAATATTGCGCAGGACTTGGTCATTTTGTATAGGGTTGTTCACGCAGAGATCTACACCGTGGAAGGCTTCTGTGTGCCCTACAGTGCTGCAGCCTTGCAGTTAAGATGGGGGAACTGAGTACTTGAGAATGGGATGGGCATAAGATTCAGCCACATGTCAACTCTAATCTTTGCTCCGTAAAGGCCAGTGCTGACTAGAGATGGAGAATCGTCCTGCTTCGTGACGCATCAAAAGTTGACGAAGCACGAAGCTTCCCTCCCATGAACACATGAAACACAAATTTATTCATCAATTTGTGGGGGGTTTACAAAAAAAAAAACACAAAACCCTGCTGCGCCCTCCCACTGCACTGCATCGTATGGGGGGATGAATAAAAATGGGGAAATATTCATCTCGTCTTATTCATCAGGGTCTCTGAAACCCACGAATAGGAAGGGACGAATATTTAACAAATCAGTGATTTCTGACAAATATCGTGATCTTTTTAAAAAATTCGTCCCAATGTCTAGTGCTGACTCCCAAAGAATGGTGGTGGGGAAACGACAGAACTATCAACCTGACAATTAATATTAGGCAAAAATTGTAGAGCAGGTAATGCAGTGGTCAGTTTGTGAGCATCACAGACATTGACGTGTTGTCACACAGAAGGAGGTGCAAGCTTGTTTTCTACTGCTTCTGAGGGCAGGATCCGAATCGATGGATTCAGTTTGCAACAAAATATGGGTACACAATTCATAGTAAGAGCTGTTCCCTGTGGCGGACTTTCTTTGGTTGGAAGTTTTTAAATAAAATATTATATTGCTATCCATAAGAAGTAGGGCAGGATTTGGAGGGCCACCTACCATTGCAGAAAATGTGTAGGTAGCTCATCTCTGTTGGATGTCTAGCCAGTGCTTAAAATCATCATATGAGGGGCACCCTACCACTACCCAAGGCAGTCTGCTCCCTTTATAGAGTCTTCTTTGCTGCATTTATTCTTTTTCTTTTTTACCCTCCCTGATAATGGCTTCATTTCCTCCCACTGTTATTTAATAAGACTGATAACTCCTAGGATCTATAGATGACATCAAGACAGTACATTGCCCATGATGACATCATAGGTAACCACAAACAAATAAAGCTGATTCACCACAACAATGCATATTTTTTAAAAAAAATGTTGCACAGGAATAAGAAGAGTGAAGGCTAAGACAAAAAAAGAGATATCAATGCTGAGAAGAAGGAACAGCCAAAGGGAAGATATTTGCAATGTGGTGTTGGACTGAGAAGAAGGAACAGCCAAAGGGAAGATGTTTGCAATGTGGTGTTGGAGGAGAATTTTACAGCTACGTTGGCTAGCCAGAAAGACAAGTACAGTGGTGCCTCGCAAGATGAATGACTCGCAGGACGAAAAACTCACAAGACAAATGGTTTTGTCGATGGGGGTTGATGACTCGCAAGACAAATGTTCCTGTGGCCGTGCTTTGCAAGACGAATGTTTTCCGTTTTATGTTCCTGCCTCATGTTTGCTGATTTTTAAACGTTTTTCTATGATGTTTAAAAAGTTAAAATTTTTTGATTGAAATTTTTAAAATCATCTGCACAATATGTGTGGCTTTAAAGAGCACTTAATAAACTCTTTGTAAAACAATTTTCACATTGTTTTGACTTTTTTTGCCCATAGGAACGCATTAATTAGATTTCAATGCATTCCTATGGGAAAA